CCCCCCCGAAAAACAAACAAGAATATACCAAAACAAGAGAAACAAATTCGAAAATCCCAACAAAACAAGAGCAAAAAAAAACCAACAAACAACAACACCAAAACAAAACCCAACCCAAACCCACACACACAAGAAATATGTGCTCTTGATGCCAAGTTAGAAGGTAGTTAGAAGGTGAGAAGTTTTTCTGAAGAGTCTTTTAATTCATAAATCTGTGAGGCATCCTATAGAAACCAGATGCTCGTCAAAATAATGAAAGCGAAGACACCGATATTTTCCGCTAGTATGGCTTATTTGTCATTTTTTTCTTCTTTTACTTTATTACCTTTTATGTTCATACAAAAACACATTTAGTTGACGGGTCTCTGACCATGCCTGTTAGGTCGATCCGGGCTGAGAGGAACACTACAAATTTGCAGTAGAAAGACCCGAGATACAAGATAGAACTTCTAAACTTACAGGGAATCGAACTCGGATCTCCTGCGTGCGACAGCGACTCGTCGCGTCTAACAGCAACTCCACAGACGCCGTTTATTTGTCAAGGGAAACGATTATACCCTCGTGCTCATGGTCTCTGCAAACATGGGCGGGGATTGGCGCGCGCGTGTGTGTGTGCTTCGGGGTAGCGGGTTTTTCCAATCAGGCACCGTGCGATTTTGTGACGTTTTTAGCCATCAATATTATAATAGGTTTATTTTATACTAGCTCCCCCAACTTACAGTACGGTCCAAAATTCGTGGCACAACTTATCCTCAAGTATCTCTTTAACGATATTGTCCTAGCTGTAAACCTTTTGAAATTTGTAGGAACCACCAAATTTCATTTTTAATTTGTTTTTTAAATGTGTTTTCTAGAATACAGCTAACGGGCGTTTACAAAAATTGTGAAAAAGCTGGAGAGTCTATCTAAGTTCGATAGTTTAGGAAATGTTTCACAACAAGTTGTGCCACGAATTTTCACCGCGCTATAAATATCATTTTCTAAAAATTGCTTACCAAGCTTTTATCACTAATCTTGTATCAGTTTGTCTTCATAAATTAATGTAATGGTTCTGGCAATTTTTTCCGTATATTTGTTACACAATAACTTATTGAGTAAACGATTGTGATGACTTACAGTGTGACTCGTATCAGCATGAACATTTCAATCATTCATATCGTCATGGTCATAGTATTAAAAGTTTAACGGTGTTAGATTGTTGCGCTAATAAGATAATAGCTTAAGTCTTTTTGGGCCGGTTTGAAGTATTTGTTTCTGAAATGAAAAGCCGAGCCAGCTTGGTGATATAGACCTAGTTCACTTGGAGAAAAGAATGAATCCAATCATAAGGTCAATTGAGTTTGCCAAAATGTTAGCGTTTCACGTCAATTCTTTTAAAGAAACGTTTTTTTGTTGTTGGTTTTTTTTTTAGTTTCTCAAAATGGCTAAAATGACGTATGAGCATGACACGCTTAAAATGATTTTTTTTCATCTCTTACCCATCGAGTATAGTAGTGTCTCTGGAAAGAAAAATACGCGACGAATTAAAAATATACTATATTGCAATTTCTCTATTTTAGAAATTTCCAATTATAATGGGTTGAGGACGAATGTTTGTTGAGAAAGCACATTAAAAATTCCCCACTTGGAAATCGAACGCGTGTCTCCTGCGTGCAAAAGCCTAACCGCTTCACAACGAACATTTTTAAGTCGCTACCCTACAATTACAGTTCTATCTGCACAGCACCTAGTTTTGAGAAATGTGATGTTAAGAATATTGAGTTCACAACATGTCAAGCTTTTCCGAATGCAATTCTTTGAATATCTTGACAACGACTCCAAATAGTATTACAAGTTTTATAGAGCAGATGGAACATTTTGTTTCTGATCTCATGGTCTTAGTAGCTCAATTCGTTCGAAAATGCCAGATAGAACTTTGTAATTCCTAGGCAGCTGAGTAGCTCTGTCCTGAGCACTTTCCCTCGGCAGGCTACTCACCAGAACCACAGCACAGTCAGCCCGCGGGCCTAGGCTGGCATGCATACAGTGGGGAGCAGAGAGTACAAACAACCATGTCGCGAGGATCTGCCGACAACGCAGGAGAGTGTGCTGGGAATAATCCAAGAAGGTTGATCTGAGGTCCTTGAGATAACCCCCGAAAACGGCCGCTGGAGTCTCTGAAAATATCTCTCTCAATAGCACCCACGAACCCTTTGTGTTAATGGGCCGACATTCTCTGCCCAGCATGACTTCGCCAATCCTCTCTTTTTGCGTCTTAGAGTCTGAGAAATATGGCCGATTGAGAATTATATCTTTGAAGTTTGAAGAGATAGCGAAAGAGGATATGATGTGTTTGCCCCTCTTTTACCCGCACCCCCCCCTTCCCTCGTCCTCCCTTCCCCCTCTCCCCTGCTTCATTCACTACCCCTCCGTGTACCTCCCTGTTTCATCGTTTTTCCCTCAGGTATTTTCTGCGTAGGGTTTTCCCCTTTTAAACTTCTGTATTTTGTCCGCTGTTAAAAAACAAAAAAACAAAACTGGAACGTTGACAAACCATACATGTTGTCTGTTTTCTTCACACAAAGACTGTATTTTATTTCATGCACTTGTCTCATATCACGCGCCCGAGGATTACGAAATGTGATTTGTCCCGACGTATTTCGAGGTGTCATCGCAGCGTGTGTGTTTGTGCGTGGGAGAGCGGGCTCTTTTCTTGTGCTTTCGTGAACTTCCGCTTTGTATTTTTCTCGGTGAAGGGTCTATTACACGTTAAGTGCGGGTGGTTAGTGGTTAGAGGGCGCCACTGGTCGGTCCTACTTCTTCACTTTCCCTCTGTTGTTTCTGTCTGTCTGTCTTATTTTTCCCAGCAGTAGATTGCCATTATTGTGTCGATGTGCTTCTCTTTCCTAAAACAAACACTTTCAGTTAAAACTGACAATAATTGTCCGCCCCTTTTGTGATAAAAAAATAATACATATTTGGTAACTTATCTTAAACTATGTCCATTTAAAAATAATATAAATTTGGAAGTCAGCGTATGAAAATTGACAGAATGACTCGCGAGTGACACTTTTTACTAGCTGAATTATGACAATCGCACAAAGAAGTACGCGTATTTTGATCAAGATGCATCATGTATTATTTTCTTATTATAAAGAGGACGGACAACTATCAGTTTTAACTGAACTTGTAATATAGGTCTCTGAGGGTGTCGGTGCAGTCCAAGCTAGATAAGGATCTTCACTTAAGCAGGTTTGGGAGTTTTTGAGATTCTCCACTGTGCCATCCTATCGGAGGGGGACGGGTTTCCGGGGTCTGTGGTGTTGTGGTTGGGGGATTTGCTGCTGTACGCAGACGACCCAAGTTCGATTCCGGAGTGTGGAGAAATATTTTTATTGAGTATCTCAGTCTTTCATGCTGGAACGTTGTATCCCTCTCAGCCGGGGTTGACCCTGACAGACAGGGTCGGAAGCTTTCCTCCTATATTATCGAAATTGTGTCGATGGCGGTTTCAAAATCACCTACTTTCAAAAAGAAATACAAAAAACCCCGAAAAAAAACCGCCTTTTATCATTATTTTATGATGCAATCGTGTCATTTTCAAGGTTTGAAGTATGTCCCAGAGGGGCGGAAACTCCACTTGTGTTACAGTCAGAGGGAACAGAGAGCATGCAGCCTGGGTTTACTGACGACAGGTTATTGTTCTGGACGGAGTGGATGAGT